TCAGTGTATTGCTTAAACAAAAAGATACAGGAATGCTATTTTCTAACTCATAAATACATACTTTATTANCTAATATTTAATATTTAAAAAATACTTAAATGATTTAAACCTCATCGAAAGACAACTTGACGTCTTTTAAATTATTTAAGAATTCGACGAGATTATCGATGTCTTTAACAAAATACATATAGTAAAACCTGTGTAAACCGAAATCGCATGATACCGAATATTTTTTTCCGGTTTGACAGGTTTACGTTTTGAATGGGTATTTTTCACATAGAAAATCATTCCGTTCCGAAGTTCCGTTTTGGACAGGTTTTACTGTTCATTAATTAATTAATTAAAACCTGTCTAAAATGGAATCTGAATAAAACAAAAACCTACGAAAAAAATAACTCGATACCGTGCAATTCTGATTTACACAAGTTTTACTGTAGGCTATAACAAAATAGAAAAACTATTCCCTATTTAGATCTATCTATCTTGCTGAGAATTTCTTCGGTGTAAACAAGAAATAATTTTAAAATTGTTTACACTGAACAAGAAAAAAACCTACTCAATATATTAATGCAATTTTATTTATTTAACTTTTCTTAAATTTTAAAGTAGCCCGCCTTTCGAATAAAATTTTCTTAAGTTAATTTATCTTATTCGTGAAAACATTTTAAAAAATTAAATTACATATATAAAGAATTAAATCAGTCATTTTACACAGACATTCGGAATTTAATTGTCTTACTTTCAGATCAAAATGTACACATTCATTATACTGTAATTGAATCATACTATTTCAGACATGTTAGAAGCTTTTGATATTTTCATTTCTATAAAAAGTGTATGCATTTGATGTTTTTGAATAAAATATTAGCTTTTCAAATTAATTAATTCACTTTAATATATTTCTAAATTAAAAATTATGTTTTAAAAATATTTACTCACGAATTAACGGCAGTTGAGCAGTGAGAAACAAGAAATGCCGTTAAAATTACTTTATCATATTTAATTTTTAAATATTAATATTACCAAATATAAGTTTTTAAACAAATATTGCCTTATATTGCCTTATACTGCGTAAAAATAGAAAAAGTTTTGAAACGTTGTAAATTTTTTCTTGGAAAAGAACCAAAAACGTTCTTTTATACAGAAATAAAGGAAAAGAGTAAATTCGGGTGGGTCGCGACCCCCAGGGGGTCCCAAAGCCTTACACGGGGGGTCGCAGGTGAAAAAAAGATAAGTGTTTGTAGGCCCTACCCTACAATAAAAAAAAATTAGAATTTCAGTGAGAAGGCTGTGCCTGTTTATTTTACAGTACAATTGGTTTTTTGATTGATATTTAAAGAAAGAAAATTAAATACGTAGTTTGTAAAATCACTGATATAGTTTTAATATGGCCCTGGGGGTCGCCAGAATTTTTTAACTTGTAAAGGGGTCGTGTATTCAAGAAGGTTGAAAAACACTGCTTTATATGAAGAAAGAATTGAAAACGTTGAATTTTGAATCAGCATTGGTTATAAAATACGAGTAACATTTTGATTAAAAAGTTCATATTTTGTTTCAAATATTATTTTATAAGCTCTTGCTTACAATGGAGATTATCGAAAATTTTTCTCATTAAAAATTTATTGTAAAGAATAAAGCAAAATAATTTGTTTATAATTAACTTCAGCATTACTAATACAACAAACTTCATTATATTTACTTGTTTATTATATTGTGAAAGAAAACAAAATTATATTAATTAAAACGGTATTTCAAATACATAACTATCATTAAACATTAGTAATGTTTATATTTACATAAATGAGATTTTAATTTATTTTTAATATATTGAAGAATGTTTGATTCTTACACTACGTTTATTAAAAATTAATTATTTAATTTAAACCGAACTGATATTTACTTATATATTTGATTTTGTAAATAGTATAAAGAGTTAGATTTAACTTTTCCTTAAGCTATTTTAAAGAATAGCACGACGAAGTAATTAATTACAAAATAAATTAATTAAACATAGTTATAATACAGGAAAGTTATTTAATCCAAAATTGCAATTCAGCAAATAACAATTAATCATTAACTTCTGATGAAATTCGTAATTTGTAAAATAAGTTTTTTATCCATTTTAATTCTTATTTTCTATATTAAGCTGTAGCTAGAGAGAAGCTAAATCAATTTCTACATATTTTAATTTAAGTTTTTAATTATTCGTATTTAGTTATTGTAAAATATGTTGTTTTTTTTAAAATCTATGCTTTTGGCCATTGCTGTAGTCTAAATTTAAATTCGGGTCGGATGGACCAGAGAGTTAAGGCTCGAAAAACCTCAAGAATTTTTCGAGATGGTCTGTATTAGATATGTGGGGTTCCGCTCACCCAGAATTCCCATTATATGCCTGAAATAAAGATTCTCTTAGAGCTCATAGGGTGAAAAAGCAACGAAAATCATTTAAATTTGAGAATTACCAAATTCTGTAATAACTAAATCGTCATAAAGCGGTTCGTCCAATTCTCCATATGTCGTAATTGAGATTACGTTCATGGAAATAATCTTTTAACTATATAATATCAAATAAAAATTATTAACGAAAATTTATTTCATAAAGAAAATTTGTATCTGAAATAAAGTATGCAAAGTTTTTAAATTTGAAATGAATACTGTAAAAACGAAGAAGAGACGTAAAGTGAAATCTATTAAATAAAAACTCAAATAATTGCAAAAAAATAGTCATTTTTATCATAAAATTTAAAATAAATTATTAAATGCTAATATCATTATTTTAATGTGCGTAAAACAAGTTTGTTAAAGTGTAAATTTTAATGATTAATATTTAACAAAATATTAACATGATTAATCCGCGTTTGTTTTAAAAAATTATTCAAAAAATTACATTATAATAAAGAAATTGTATTCAAANAATAAAAAATTAGATGAATTATTTACTTATATCTACAATTATTCCTTTTATACATTTTTTTTCAATTTCAGCTCTTTCCTCCTTACGGGCACTAAGAAGACCTTTTTTTCCTCTAAATTTGTCCTGGTTTCAGCCAGGCAGGTGGTGAGGGATAGGCCCAACATATCTTGGACAGACCCACTTTAAAAACTTCCCGAAGTTACCCACCTGGATTCAACCTCAGAGCGATAGGTTGACGCTTTAACCGCATTGGTCGTCCTTACACATACATTTATACGCGTTTATCCGAATATTAATTATCTTCACATAAAAATCAAAGTTACACAAATTTTAAAAATAAATAAGGTATTAATAGATTAATAGAACGCCGTAGACTAAAAGTATCGGTTGCAGTTATGAGATCCGAGTTTGGGTCCCGGTTGGATCCTCTGATTCATGTGTAATCCGGTACGGCTATCATACTAGTGGGAAACTTTCTGACAGTACCATACCGTGGTACTCATTTCTTACCCTATCCTAAGCTATCTTTCTTCTCCGACAAGGCATCCATCATTCACACCCATTGCAGTCCTGACCGAACTCTTGATAAATCTGGCAAGCTCCAGATATATTTTGGATATAATTTAGACAATTTCTTAGTGCTCAGATTTGTCCATTTTATGTATATTTTCTTATGTCCATATATTTATTTATTTATTTATTTATCGTTGATAGTTTAACACATCTATGTACTGTATGCAGTAGAACTCGGTTAAGAAGTTTTTCAAGAGTCCAATTTAAAAAGAGTTTAAGCTTTTCTTTTAATAATCTATATTTATTTAACAATGTTCATTTGTGTTACTGTAAATTAGGCTTATATAGTATTTATTTACTTAGCCTATGTATTTGTATAATGTAGCCTGCTTCATCCGTTTTGTTGTTTAAAAGAAAAAACGTGTTTTATGATTCCCACGAACAAAACAACAGATCTACAAATGCCGTGCTAAAATTCATTGAAGATTTACAATATCATCTACTAGTTATTAGCGCTTTTCAGAACTTGGTGTTTCTTGTAAGCAGGTTACCTTGCAAGAAAAATGCAAAATCCATGTTCAAAGTAGCCCAATGTCGTTCACGAAATGACAAGAACTTTGTACATTTCCTAATGTATATTTCCCCCATATGCAATTAAATACATGAAATTTTCGACGGGACAAAGTTGAAAAACTTCTTAAGCGAGTCCATTTTTTGGATTTTAGTTTACTTATGCAGGAAATTTTCTTAAACGGGACATTTTATACGGGAAAATTTACATATTTCTTACGGAAAAAATTGGGACTTTTTTGGAAATTAATCTTATTATACGGGGAAATTTCTAATGAAGTAGTTCTTAATTAAACGAATTCTACTGTATATAGATGTCTTTCAACGATAAAAAAAAATAATTATATTTTTCAATATAAAAAAACACATAACATAAAATATTATAAATATATTTATTGTACATTGTATTGTAAAGTACAATATAATGTACAGTAAATGTATTTCACACTGGAGATTTTGAACGAAAATAATTAATGGTGTCGTCATGCTAATGAAACTGATGCATTAATTTTTCGATTATAACACATTATGTAGGAGGAATTTGTTAGAATTACATGTAACTTATTCTGCAATAATACATAAACATTGAAGATAATAATTTCAAAATAAAAATTACAAAACGAATGACGTCAAACAGTGACGATAGCATAAAACGAAATATAGTAACTACGGCCAAGACTAATAAGAAGAATCAATTCAAAATATCAACAAATACATTGAAATAAATGTGTTTTTACGTAAATGTATTAATAAATCGAGACTCATATAATTTGATAAAAATGCTTCGAATCTCATATTTCTCGCTTAGAAATTTTAATAAATTTATAGTACTTAATTATTTAAAAATATCTTCGTAACTGCTTATAATTATTATAATATTGTATACGCAATGCATTTTTATTCAATAATAAAATTGTGCCAATAAAATAAATAATAATCATTTTCTAATTAAAAATATTGAGAGTTTTTATATAAAATAAGAAATATGTATAAATTTAATGATTTACCAGCAAACGTCGTGATATTTAATATGAGGATCGGATGCTCGATCGATCATTCTCTGATATGAAGGCCCACAATGATTCACTGATACTTCTTTGAAACATTCAGCAATATCTAAATAATCTATAAATTTTAAGTTGTAATTATAATTATAATTAAACAAGATTATATTATATATAGAGCCTACGGATTGTTTTTGAAAAGTATTGCCTTAACACCGTGTTGTATGGGTCGTAAAAGTAAAAACTTCCATAGAAAGATAAATCCGAAAATGCTTCCTTTCGAAATTATAGTAATTTTAAAAGTAACTGTAATTAAAAATTTTTTACGTAACGCAAATTAATAGCAAATTATGGTTTCAAGTGACCCATAGAAAAAGCCGTTAAAGTTTAGATAGACTTTTCAAAAAACTCCCTGTATAAGCCCACATAACTATATTTATAATCGGCTTACGAGTATTTATATATTGAATGTATCATAAATATATTAAAATAAATATTACAGTACATTTAAAGGAATTTATGAAAATTAATTTATATTAAAATTAGTTAAATAATCTTAAGGTTGAATTTAAAGTAAAAATTACAGCATTGATACAGAAAGAATTACAACAGTGACTGCAGAATAATGTTGTAATTTTTACTATTATATATTTATATAGTAAAAATTAGTAGTTAAAATAATTTCATAACACCTATTTTATAGAATTATTTTTAATTCCTAATAAATACAGGTATATATTTTGCGTATTAATAAATATTTGCTTTATTTTAATACTAAACAAAGAACTTATTACAATATTTTAACAATTATTCAATGCTTAATATTGAAATCTTATTTAATATTTATTCAATTTTGATAAATGTTCATTAAAATACGTCTCTAATTTCTTATTCTGAATATAAAAATAGAAACTAATAAATTTTATTCTTGTGGAATTTAATTTTTAAAACATTATGCAATAAAATTATCTATCTGTATTTTAAATTAAAAATTAATATAAAAAGCTACGTAGACTAATTTAAATAACCACATTTACATTAAATGTCGATTTAGTTTAAAAGAAGCTATACAGTATGTATACAGCTTTTACTGTATTTTCTATGCACTGTAAAAGCTGTATATTTTATAAATAAATTGTTTTGTATATTTAAATTGTAATTTTAATTATTTCTTTAAAAATAAATTAATATATTTTTACTAAAAATTTTACTTATAATCATTAAATTTAAATAACAACATTTTTATCATAATAAATAAACAAGCGCAAAAAAATTCATTATTCATAAATTAAATATTTCTGGATATTTTTAATATTTTACATTAAAACTTCGTGTCCTTGCTTTATACATTGAAAAATATTCTTATCATTTTCTATTATGATAAGTGTAGATGAATCATATTAATTTCTTTTTTATTTCTGTCAAAATACTTTTTATAAAAATGAGGCATTTCATGACAAACTAGCATTAATGACATCACAAATAGGACAAGGACACGTTTTGAATATCATCTGGAATTTAACTGGTCATCATCTAATCACGTGATTCCTCTTTCCGTTATCCATAATCGGTCAATGACAAACTGGCAACACCCGGATGATGTCATAATAATAATAATATATCATAAATATTTTCTGGATATTTTCGGACAATTCTGTCATTTTCTATAAATTATATATTCGTGATTTGTTCATTTAAAATAGATTACCTTTTTGATATTTTTCTGAACTGCAAATGGCATGAACTACGTGAACAGGTATTCGAACGGCATCATTAAACTTATTCTTTTGATTAACCGTAGAACAGTCGTTCATAAATATACGAACACATTCCATTAATTCGCTCCAACGTCTAAAAATAATGATTTAATGGAGATTAAAAACGAAATTTTTAATCTAAAAATACATTTATGATATATACATAATTTGTTTTCTTACTTGCAAACGTTTTGAATATCCGAAATGTTGACGGGAAACATGTATTGATGTAAATGCAAGAAAGGTTGAACAATATGGATACACGTGTTCAATTTCGAATCGCATTCTTTACCATAGATATTTTCAAAAACTGCTTTGAATTAAATTAAGGAGGAAAGTATTATAAAAAGAAAAAAGTTCTTGATTAATAACGTTATATATTAAAAAATAATATAATTTGCTAATGAACTTACTCGTTAAGAGAAGTATAACCTTGAGTATATTCATTGCCATTTTGATCCTAAGTTTGTAATATTAAGAGAAATCCAGCAACATTCGATCCGTCATGTTTCGACTGTCGAATTGTAACAATTTACACTAAATGTCCAGAGATACTTTCACAGAAATTCATAACAATAGTGTCACTGTCGGACAGTTTATATTGTTCCATACAGGATACGCGAACTACCAAATTCACTGACGTGAAGTTCCTCGCATCCGGCAACTGAGGAAGAGAAGCTGTATTATCTGATATTTAAATAGTTGTTGATATATTGTCGTTGGTCGAAAGAGAAAATTACTGTTTCCAACCAGTAAATAAAGTCAAAAACACGAAGTAATCATTTAATCTGTAATTGGAAATGGCAAAAGAAATAAAATTACTTCCTGGATTCATGAATTCTTTTTTATAGTTTCGTTCTTAATATTAACAATTTGCGGAATTTCACTTTCGAATCGGTAACAACCAACATTTTGTTAACGATTGAAACGCATAATTATTTGGTTATGTTATAGAATAGAATATATAAGAATGGTCCTGAAAGAGAAACTCTACTCCTCCATATTCCCACCCAAATTGGGTGGGAATATGGAATATAAGAATAAAGTTTCTCTTGTTAAATTTTTTCAAATAAAAATGCACTCTATGTTGAAATTTAAGATAAAGCCTTGCTCTAGTTAACATGCGAGTACCAATATATGAAGATTAAGTTCTCATTGAAATAATTATTTGAATTTTTCCTATTCAAGCATTGAAAATGTTATACAGTATACTGTTCATATATGAACAAAGTAAATAGAGAAAACTGTAGAGATTTTAAATAACAATACATTTAAACCAAGGTCAGTTTAGAAATATTTCAGTCTTGCATAATTCTTAAGCCCAGTTCTAAGGAATTTAAAATCTGACAATTTAAAACTTAAATTAATAATTTTTGGAATAGAAATTATAATTAATTGAATAAATGTTCTAGAAATCAGCAGTGCACTAGAGAAAACAAGGATTATCTTCTAGAATATAAGATAAAATACATTTTCGTGTTTGTTTTTTAGTAGGAACGTATAATTACGCAAATTAAAATTTTTAAAAACAGATATATTTGTTTTAAAAGATCGTTTACTAAGGAAACATCATGTTCCCTTAGTGATTTGTCAAAATAACTTGAAGAATTCCAACTTTCTAAATAAGCTTCTAAAAACATTTGACGTAAAAGATTGTTTTTCCATTCTTATCGCTGGTGACAGATAGAAATATTTCCTCTCTCAAAATAACGTATTAGTTTTAAATGCTATCGTTTAAACAGTAATTTATCTGTGGAATGTTATCAAAAAGCTAAAAACTTCACTGAATGCTGCACATAATCGTTTTATTTTATATATTTACTGTACTGTACATTGTATTAGAAAATACTATTTTTTCAGATAAAAAATAATAAAGTAGTGGAAGTGACATGAATTTTGTGTCAAAAAAATATATATATTACGCGTTTATTCTAACTGCAAAATATATTCTATTAACAATTTTTGAAGTGTAAAATAATTTAGTAAATATATATTTTTAAAGAGAAATGATTTTGAGAAACTTATTATTATGATTTTGTGATATTTTTGTTTTTAAATACTTCTAAAGTGAAGAAATTCAAATTTGAAGACCATCAGAAAAATAAAATCTTTTATTTAAATTTTTAAAAATAAATAACACAAAACTGAATATTTTTATAATTTTTTTAAACTCCATTTATAAGTATAAAAATGTAAAAATTAATAAGTTTCAACCTCAAAAGAGTTTTATAACATTCTTGTCACTCATGCAAGAACATTATTAAATAATTAGTTTATCAATTGAAATTTTTTTGAAGAGATTGGCTATCTCCAATATGTTAAATGGTTTGGAATTACTCGTAGTCCAAAAAAGTTTAATAAAAGACACAAAATACAGGGTTTATATGAGATAACAAAGTAGTTCGATTGTCAATTTAAAGTCTATAAATCCACAGTAATTAAGTTAAACAGATTGCCACAATAGTTCTTTAAATAAGCATTTACAATTTCTAATGTATTTTTAATAGTACTGCATCTCGAGAGCATAGAATAAGCCTATCAGAAATTATTTTTATTTATTTTTTAATTATTTTTATATTTTAATACTTACAAATATAAAAATATCATTCAGTCAAAAATGTAACGAAAAAATTTATAGCATGCGAATAAACAATTTTCACCGTCACACACCACATAAACACTATAAAAACATCAAATAAAATGTGTTATTATTTAATCACGAGTAAATTTACATATATATCCTTATTAAATCAGATAAAATTATTANAGGGCGAACAAAATCGTACCTCCACAAACACACCCAACACACATACACACACACATATATACATACAAAATCATCATTTGAAGTTATAAAAATATTAAAAATTTAAGTTTTTGAGTTTGAACAAAATTTACTATGGTATATTTTTATAGTATTCAGAGACTAGGAAAGACGAAATGGAGCCCAGACTAGTAGTAAATGGACGGCTTGAGTCTTCTCCGAATGCCATAAAAATAATATGAATGAAGTCAATAAAAGAAATAAAAACATTATTCTAATCACTTACCAAGCTTAATTTCTATTACATTCCTGTCATGTTATTTATATAAAAGGAAAAATTTTGGGGACTTCTTTGTGTTCGAGATTTGATTTGGGCCAAATGATTCTGCTAACTCTATCTGGTCTGACGTTATCCTAAATAAAATAATAATCATTTATATTTTAATAGGATTTTTCTCCTTACCAAGAGACTGTTATATCGTTACCAGTGTACTTTACTCAGGAAAGAGAACGAATTGTAACTTGTTTAGATGTTCCTTGTGGAAATTCAAAAGATCATTGGTTGCAATGTGGTGCTGCATTTTTATTAAAAAGTTCCTAAATAAACTATTTTTAAAATCACAAATTATATAATTTTGTAGAAATTGGATTACACAACTGTAACATAGTTAAAATAGAATTAATATGTAACTNATAAAATTTAATTTTACATTAAAAAGTTGTAATATTCACAGAAATTACATTAAATTAAAATATAACAATAAATATATACAATAAATAGAAAATACTGTAAAACCTCCATGTACAGATTTATGAAGAGTGTCTAAGAACACCACGAATTTAAAAAGTATCTCAACCTTAAATTCGGAAACATAAAAAAAAATCCATCCTAAATTCGAACTAAAGCAGTATTTATTATATATATCAATTTATATATCCCAGCGATCGTTATATAAAAAATAAATTGTACGTGTGTGATAATGTTCTATGTGTAACTGTATGAGAGACACGAGATTTCTGATTGTTCGATTTATTAAATTTAAAATTACAGAAAGTGGTTGAATTTTCAATGCAATTAGAATAAATGTGAAATATTTGAGTGATTTACTATATTTCACCGTCGACAAAATATATTCGCTGGACGATTTCATTAGTCCTATTTTATAAGATTCATAGTAATGCCTATAGATACATTTTTCCTACGTTTAAAATGGACTCTTCGTTTTTAAAAGTAAAAAATACCAATAAATGAAGCTCTATTTTAATTTAAAAAAGCAAAGAATTTCTATGATTATTTACAACATTAAAAAAAAATTAAAGTATAGATATGGAATGCTTAATTATTAACATTTATGCTCCTCTTTCAAACAAGAAAGAGAAATTACATAATTAGAAATTATTAATATTCTGACATAAATATGAACAATTTTCTTTTCTAAATTGTGACTTACTAATAAATAAACAAATATTTTATATTAATTGTCTGAATATTTTATTAAATTAGGACAATTAATAATAATAATCATTGTTCGTTAGTAAAAAATAATAATTAATTAATTAATTCTTATTTAACAATATTAATTTTCTAATTAATTAAATCCTGTACTATTTATTAGAAAGATAAATAATGTTATAATATTAAATTATGCTTTATAAAATTGATTAAATAATTTTTTTTACATTTAAATTAATTTTTATTTTAATATTAATATATCAGGTGATGGTAATTAATATATTCCTATTTAAATTTGTCTAGAGAGATAGTTAGCAGTCTAAATGCAATCGAATCTGTCAGATGGCATTTCAGGAACTCAAAAGATATTTCTGCAAAAAATTAGTAGTACCAAAGCTCACCACTATGGCACTTTTGGTGCTGCAATCAACAACAATGTTATTTGTACAAGACATTCATGCTAACTGCTTTTAGCTATGTAGAAGATATTGATACTACTCAATGCGGTCCTCATTCTGAAAATGTACAACCTGAAGACGAAAAACAATGTGTTTAACTCTAACGTTCTCGAAGAACAATTAATAAAAAAGCCATCATTTCCATCGTTATTCCTAAATTTTTAACAATTTATTAACTATTAGATAAAGACATTGTTTACATAATAAATTAGTTATAATGATATATATGTTTAACAAAAAAAAAAAATTATTTCTCCGCGAATGAGTAAAACCCACAATTCTAAATAATAAACGAAACAAATTAAATCAAAACTAAAATAAATATTTAATCGCAAAAATAAAACTAAGTATAGTATCGAATTTACAATGTAACTTTTTTATGTCCAATATGTTTCTTAAACTGTTAAAACCCAGAACTATTAAATTATTTTGTATTTAATTCTGTTTTAAGCACGATTATATTAAAATACATTCAATCATCCTTAAATTGTAATTTGTTTTAAGTTCACATTCTAGTTTCATTTTATAATTATCCACTTTACTTAAGTGGAAAAAGAGAGAAAAAAACACTCTCTTCACCCTCCGATTTGGGACGAAGTTGATTTATGACACTTTTCCATTTGAGTTACTTTGTTACTTTTTCATTTTTTTTCTTGTCCCCTTGAATTCTTATTATGTCTATAAATGTGTCTACTTTTTCGCTTATTTATATTATAATTTTTCCAAGTATTAACTTAAATATTGATATTTTAATTTTTTTTTAAAATGTATTCTAATTTTTTTTTCTTTTTTAGCCTAAATCAATTGTAATGCTTATCTATTTTAAGTTTACAGTAGATTAATTACGAACAAACAGTAGTATTTATTTATAGGATCTTGTACAGAGAGACAAAATTCATCATTTAGATAATTAATTTTCTAGCTAGTCTTTCTTCATCAGTTAAGTAACTCGACAGTATGACTACCATTTTAGATAAATGCGATTCTATTTTTGAGCATCACCAAAATGCCCCTTTATTCACTATTTTAAGCTGTCCTTATTATGAATTATCAACAAAACAAATGAATACAAATGTGAAATATTGCTATATTTATAACATTTTTAATATTTACATTAAGTAATTATTATTTAAAACAGTTTTTATTGTGTTTATTTAATATTAGAAAGAAAATTAAGACGATAAAATTTAATTTTACATTAAAAAGTTGTAATAATATATATGTAAATGCATAAAATATGTACGCTAAAGAGTGTATAGTAGACATTTTATAATTTTTCTGTGCTGGTATTTTATTCTAGATTAAATAATTATTCCATTAATTTAAATATAGAACTAATTCCGATTTAAAAATCAGATTAAGAAAATCTTGTTTCTAAATTTAGTTTGTGCATGCAACAAACGATATGCATTAACTTTAAATAAAACAGTAACCGCGTTAAATTATCTAAACTGATAACGAAAAGTGTCTTCGTTTATTGAATAATTTAATAAAAATACAATAACTTCTAAGTTAAAATTGTAGCATCTGCCATATAAAAATGAAGGTGAATAAATTAAATCACATTAACAAAATTTCAATGGTAGTTTAACTTTCTACTAAATATTCTATATTTGTAGTAATTAAACCAGTTTAACATAAACCAGTTTATTCAGTATTAATCAGTGTCAGTGTACAAGAAATATTAAACAAGCAGCAAAGCCTATGTCGTAGGAGGCATAACAATTATTCCTTTTTAGAATCAATTTTAATAAAGGAAAGACGATTTTAAAGATGTCTCAAATTAAACTGGGGTTTCCTTTTAAATGAGAGTTCTGTTGTTTTTCAATGGTAAATAACTGAAAAAAGTGCACCAAGTGCTATTGATCTCTCACAGTATATCTTACAATCGAAGATGTATCGATAAGATATTTATTAAAAAGCGATTAATTATTATTTTAAGGACATTAAGTTATACTTGCTTATATTTTATGTTTTGTTTTAACGGACATATTGTATGATTTTGTATGATTTTTCCCTGCATTATGGTTGTACCAGTATGCTTAAATAAATAAATATACTTGCTTATAACATTGAGTTCATAATAATTTAGTTAACTTCGATAGACCGCCGTCCTGAATAACGTCACCCTCGTAAAGCCAATGAATACACGTGAATAGATATTTTTAGTAAATATTAAACAGACAGCCATTCGATATCTGTGAATTATTAAATGTATGATTTTGCATTACTAACCATATTATCACCAAATCACGTAGATTTTACACTCAAACTCAACTTGTGTGTAGACCTCATTACCGTAGGACTATATAAAACCTTATTGTTAGCATCACATTGGATTTAACGCTACTTTCAGAGGCAAAGAAATACTAACGCTAAATCGAAGTTGTATACAGAAATAAACTTGATCCATGGATCTTTTAATAATCTAAAGATTGGTCTTTAAAATAAGGATAATAAATAATTTAATTAAATATATTTTCTTATTTTAAACTAGGTTTTAAGTTAATATATTTAACGACTATTAATGTTTCAACCTCTGGATATATTTCATTTATATTTCATAAGATGACACTTGTGAATTAAAAGTGAATGGAGAAGCTTAGTAGTATTTATTTTACAAAATTTGTCGAAGAATATTGAAAATATTCGAAAAATTTCGATTTATAGAGATATTTTTAGCGATAGAAAAGCTTGTGTTAGCATTATCCTTTCTTATGTGCTTAGTGTCTACATGAAAAACATTCTGAAATAAGACTTCACAGTTAAGATCAAATGAGAATGCCTCGCCTGTACTTCTATTAACGACATCAATGGCGAATGACCATGTAATTCGGCTACACCGTCAACCAGTAGTAATTTAATATTTCAATAGTTGAAATTGATCTGAGTAGCTCCGGCCATATTTTTTTAAGCCATATTAATGACGCCACTCTCTTGTGAAAGACCCAAATTATGTCACTATCATTCATGTAACATTACAAATTTAATTTTACGTTAATTCTTTAAGTTTTTTTATGACTTAGATACATTAATAAACTGAATTTTATATTCGTATAATTATAATAAAAAATATTCATGGAAAGGAAAAATAGATTTTTAAAATATTTATTTAAAACAAAACTACTAAATGTTTAAAAGAAAAAAATTATCAAGTTAGAATGTGGGACATTTTCCTGGAATATTTCCAATGCTGAATAAGATGTAAAAATAGGGGAATATACCACTTAATATTGTATACATAGTCTCTTAGTAAACCTTTAAGACAACTATAAGTGACGTTTTATGCTTAAAATACAACTTGTGTTGTGTTAAAATATTTTAGTTGTTCTTTCCTAATATATTAAAGAAAAATTGAAAATATAGTGAATATTTCCACGTATAAAAAAACTAAAATAGGCTACAGTTTTAGAATCGATTATGTATAATAAAATAGAAATTTATTTACTTTAAGCTTAATAAAATCCAGTGAAACCTGTGACATATAATAAGATATAAATAGA